GAAAACATTGATACCAGTTTATTTTGTTAATCAAGTTTATCATCACTCTTATTAGTCATTTACTTTATATCACACTCTGTTAAAACTTATCTAAAACTGTAGCAGCTAAACCCTTTCAGCATCATTGTGTGAAACCTTTTAACTTCCGTTTCTCAAACCCAGCTCCAGAACCAGTCACTGACCACAAACGTACTGTCTGTTTTTTCTCTGATATGATTGTAAATGAGGTAATGGCTGTTGTGTCAAAGCAAGATCTGTTACATGTGAAGATGTATAAATGAGACTGTATTGCTCATGATTTTTGAGAACACACAAGAACTCTTGGGCTGCGTTTCCGTTCCATGTGTTCTCCCTTCTGCAGAAGAGAAATAAACCTTGCTATGTGTTTTTAACAAAGTTCTCAGTCTGCTAAATTTTATTGAACAACAAAGTTTGATAAAACTCCACAAGAGGTGGTCAGTTTAAGATTAAAATCAGACACCACTCTGAGCAGCAGGACCACGCTTTCCACAGAACAACTGTGTCAACTCTTGAAACTGTGCCTGCAGTCAACCTACTTCACATATGGGGAACAATATTGTAGATGAACATATGCTGATATATATTCATAAATTAAACGGATTCTTTAATTTTTTTGGACTGTATAATGACGTGCATTGAATTATTAAAAATATAACGTGAGACGTTAATTATCTTTGACCCATCAAAATGAAGGTGGTCATTTATTTTCAGAATCAAAATTTTAACATCACACATTTACATTAATTTGGCAAATGATTTCAACAACAACATGGCTAATTTAGGATAGTTTTACAAGGAGGAAACAATACGGCGATTGTTTCCCTTTGCTTCCAGCTGTACAATTTGAGTAACCATACGGCGATGGTTGAACAACTTCACAACAGACATTTCTAAAAATACCTGGAATGATTTCTAGCAAAAAGAAGAATTTTAAAGAGGGAAAATGAAGTTTATCTTGAGAGAGATGGGTGAGGGAATTTGTCTGTTATAACCAGAACAGCACGCTCCTTCGGACCAGCTTAACCCAACGGTACACTTTGGTTGAGATCTACTCTTTACCTTTGCAGATGATAGTTTCAGCGTTGGTGTAGAGCTTTCCTTTCAACTCTTCCAGCGTCTCCGTAAGAACAGCTAAACCTCAGGAGTCGTGAGATCATCCAGAACAGACATTTCATAATTCCCCTGATCTTCTCCCGTTCAGCTTATTTTTCTTCCTCCAGCATCCTGAATTCCAGCCTTCTGAACTCTGGAACTGTCGGAACCAACTCACAGCATTCTCTCAGCGTTCTCCTCAGCGTTCTTCCCAGAACTGCCGAGAACTTCTCAGAACTACTGAGCTCTCCAGAACGCGACTGGAGCTGGAACCTCCTGCAGAACTAGGAAGTGTTGCACCTTTTAAAAAGAGCTCACTTCCGGTTCATTTGAGAACTTTCTGATAGGTCGATGGACCAAAACAGAGGTGTGTTTTGTGATGTAAGAGGTTAAAAAAGTCAAGGAAAAAGATTAAGATTGTTTAAGAACAGACAGAAAATTGTTATGAAGAACTCAGACTTCGTGGAGTCAATTCTCTAGTATCTGCCTGAAAAAGTTAAACATGACATTTCTTTTTCAGTAAACTTGCAGTTGACCGAAACTTGAACTTTGACCAACTTACACAACTTGCTCATTGAAGACAGAAAATCAGACAATGCATCATTAACCTGATTTCTACTTTGAATGAGGATTAAAGTCATTATTACTGTTTCACAGTTGATTAAAAATGATTAGTTCACTTCAACATTTAAAAATGGTTTGAACTAACACAATTTGATTATCAAACATTTGTAAAATAGTAATGATAATCGAAAGTAGTGTTCTTTCACTTGATTAATTCAAGAAAGAAAGTCTCAGGATGGGTCAACCTGTATTTCTGGATTCAAATCAATGAAATGACAGTTTCTGTCCCATAAGGTCCTTAAGGTCAGGATTTGACCTCAGGCCTAGTTCACTATAAGCAGAAACATGGGTGGGCTATGGGGTCTCCAGTTTCTCCTATTGTTGCCAACCTGTACATGGAGGAGGTAGAAAAGAGAGCCTTGACGTCCTTTTCAGGGACACCACCAAGTCATTGGTTCAGGTATGTTGACGACACCTGGGTTAAAATTAAATCTCAGGAAGTCCAACATTTTACTGACCACATCAACTCTGTGGATAAATACATCAAGTTCACACGAGAAGATGTAAAAAATGGCAGGATGGCTTTCTTGGACTGTGAGGTCTCAGTCTCGGATAGAGGACATTTGCAAACTGAGGTGTACCGCAAACCCACCCACACAGACCAGTATTTGCAGCTTGACTCCCATCACCCTTTGGAGCACAAGTTAGGAGTCATCAGGACTCTGTATCACAGAGCAGACAGCATCCCCACTAACTCAGGAGCTAGGCAGAAGGAGAAATCCTACACAAGCCAGGCTCTAGAGCAATGTGGATATCCTAACTGGGCCTTCCTGAAAGCAGAGAAGAAACCCAAACAGGACTCCAGTCAGCCATCAGGTGAAAAGGAGGAACCCAGACCCAGACCAGTGGTCATTCCGTATGTTGAGGGAGGTTTTCCTTTCACTTTATCCTGGATTCTTGTCAGCAGCCCGATATGTTTTCCACTTAAATCTGGTGATCTGTCCGTTGTGACAACTTTACTCCACAGAAGCTTCATTCTCTATGACAGCAGACGGTTATAAAAATCCTCTCTCAGTGTTTTTCCTTTCAGACTCCAGGGTCAAAAAGACCTCCATTATCTCAAAACTGTTCTTAATCCCGCAGACAAAAAAAATAGGAGAGGAGCAGTGTCCTTTATTACTTTCATCCAGTAAACCGTAACTTAAAAGACTCTCTCTTCCTTTTAGCTTATTTTGCTGGCTAAATCATCGTCAGTCAGTTCCACAAGGTGAGTCACAGTCCTACGTGATAAACTGATTTTTTCTAACTTATTTTGGCCCTCCGGACACAATAGACCTGCTCTGTTTTTACCATGTTTCTTTTAAAAAAATCGCTTTCGGAGAAAGTCTTGCTAGCATAGTTAGCAGTTAGCAAAGTGTATTCTTTGAAAACCGAAACAGTTTCTTGACCTTTTTAAAAAGGCATAAATGAAAAAATCCAGACTGGACAACAGAGGCAATATGTTTGTCAAAGTGTAAAGCCTTATCAAAGGTCACCCCAAGGTTTTTCGCACTGTCACTGAAGTTACTGTTTAAATTAAACAGAACAGTTGCATCTTTGTCACCAAATAAAATCCATTCTGTTTTATTGTCATTTAAAAACAGGAAGTTCTTGTTTAACCAATGTTTGATTGCAGAAATGCAGTCAAAGAGAGAAAGCATTGGGTTACTGAATCCTGGCCTTAATGGCAAATAGAGCTGCAAATCATCTGCATAAAAATGAAAGCTGACATTGTGCTGTCTTATAATAGATCCAAGTGGCAACATGTACAAGGAGAAGAGTAGAGGGCCCAAAATAGAACCTTGGTGCACCCCACACAGAAGAGAGGCTGTAGAGGAAGAGGAGCCATTGAGCAAGACAGAGAAAGTTCTGTCAGATAAATAGGACGTGAACCACTTCAGAGCTGTGCCACGAATCCCAACAAAATCATGGAGGCGAGATAGAAGGACAGAGTGGTCCACAGGGTCAAAGGTCGCTGTAAGGTCGAGAAGCACCAGAGCTACTGGGCACCCAGAATCAACTGACTGAGCTATGTCATTATGAACTCTCATTAAAGCTGATTCTGTGCTATGCAGGGATCTAAAACCAGATTGAAATTTATCCAGGATTGTGATTTTTTCCAAAAAAAAGCTGAATTTGCATAAGAACGATTTTTTCTAAAACTTTGGAGGGGAAGGGGAAATTAGAAATAGGTCTAAAATTTGATAAAACCAAGGGATCAAGATTTGTTTTTTTGAGAAGGGGGCAGACCATTGCATGTTGAAAAGCAGAAGGCATAATTCCAAGGGTCAGACATGAATTGAAAAAAGGAAGAAGATAAGGACCAACAATATTAAATACCTTTTTCAATAATCTAGTACGGAGAAAATCAGTGGGGCAGTTAGTGGGTTAGGAAAGTATGATATCATGTGAAGAATGCATGGTGTTTTTTGTTTTCGCTTTGGGGATTGTTCAAGCCTGAGTTGTTTGTTTCTAGTTATTTTATTTATTTTTTAAATAAGGGGCAGATATTACAAGAATTTTCTTCTTCTTTCTGAAGCCTTTTCATTCAATGTTTTTTTTCTTTTTGATGAATTTGTTTTGTTTCTTTAAATGAATGAGTAAATGAATTAAAAAATTTACGTTGTATGATTAATGGTTAAATTAAAAGTTAACGCTTAAAGCTAGTGGTGATTTATTTTGTGTGTTTTAAATGTAGAAATAGCTATGTTGCAACTTCTGGTCGCGTATGTATTGCGTGTTGCTAGCTTAGTGCTACATTAGTGCCAGCAGTTGTCGACGGGGTTGGGGGGTTTAGGATGTGTGAGAGAAGCAGAGCGTGCTCTGTTCACACAAGGAGAGCTGTTGGTCAGGCTATTTCTTGTTGCTCTCTAAAATAGTTATTGTATCAAGTGTTTACTTCTGTAGGTAAACGTAGATGTTTACAACCTGTTAAAATACACCAGAATGCAGGAAATGGCATCTACTTTATTCAAAATTTTCTAGTGGAAGACCCCCAGACCTCACCGCCAATGTGTTCCCTCCACATTACAAATGCATCCGACACCAAAGGTCACTGCGTTGGTCAAGCCAAGAGCCATTGTCAACACTTGGTGGGGACGGGGGCACACCTAAAGGTCAGATTCTAGAATCGCCCCTGGTGCAGTAGTTTTAAAAGATCTGTCACTAAACCCATTTCTAAACAACATCCATGACACAAGTTATAAAAAATGTAACACTCCTGATCAACAGGAATCTTGTCTTGAGGTTTAAAAAGCTTCAGCTGAGTCTAGATCATTTCTTACTCTGGGATGAACACCAGCACACCGTTATCTCGGATGGAGTAGATGATAGCGTCGGACACACAGCGCGGGTCCTGCTGAGGATCTCGTTCTTTGAAGAAGAGGCACTGAAACACCCCGACAGATGAACTCTGGGCTTGCTGAGCTGCCTGCAGACACCAAAACTCACAAGATGTTCAGAAAGAACCAAACTGCTGAGCTCCAATGACAATAAAACCATCCTCACCCTGTTCCTGCTGTTAATGTGCTCAGCCAGTTCCTCCATGTCTTTATTACTGCACTGTGCTTTAACAAGCTCCGCCCCCTTTTCAATCGCCAGAGCTGCAGTCAGTAGGCGGTGAACCACTATGTCAGCATATCGACGGATTGGTGAAGTAAAGTGGGTGTAGCGATCCAAAGCTAGACCTAACAAACAGAACACCAGGCTTCAGCTTGGACCTACAGACACTTTTATCAGTTAGGAGAAGATTTAGTCAGATAGCAGGGGGGAAAAAAAATACCATAATGGTAGAACTGGTCTTCAGGGTGAGAACCAGTGGAGAAGTACACAGCCTGGGACATGGCTTGGGTGGCCATCATTCTGAGCAGCCTGTTGACCAGTGGGTCCTGGGGGGCCACGGCTCGGTCCAAAGAGTCAGCTAAAGCCTTGTTGGTCCTGCAGGGGCAGAATCAGGAGTTCAGAGAGAGAGGTAACTGACTTGTCAACTACCGGTAGTTGTTTTAGAAATGTTGCGTTTGACCCCATAAGTTTGTCATCTGTCACGTCTAGACTGGACTATTGCAATGGTTTATTATCTGGGTGTCCAAATACTTCTTTAAAACGTCTTCAGTTGATCCAAAATGCTGCTGCCAGAGTCTTAACTGGAGTTACTGGGACAGATCATATTTCTCCAGTTTTAGCTTCTCTCCATTGGCTCCCTATCAAATCCAGAATAGAATTCAAAATCTTACTTCTAACCTACAAAGCTCTCAACAACCTGGCTCCATCTTATATTACAGATCTTATTGTTCCATATTTTCCCAACAGAGCACTTCGCTCTCAGACTGCAGGTTTACTTGTGGTTCCTAGAATTTACAAAAACAGAATGGGAGGAAGATCTTTCAGTTCTCAGGCTCCTCTCTTGTGGAACCAACTTTCAATCTCTGTCCGTGAGGCTGACACATTATCCAGTTTTAAAACTAGGCTTAAGACTTTCCTTTTTGCTAAATCATATAGGTACAGATACAGTGCAGTTTACAGGTAGTTAATTTTCTCGAGATTTTTTCTTTCTTTCTTTAAGTAAATTGCAATGGTTGTTTCGTGCTGGGTTAGAGGATGTTACAACCGGGTAGACGTTTGGGCAAAGCAGTTTTCAGTTAATCCCAAAAATAATGAAATGTGAAGGACCTCCATGGAGGAGCTCACCACAGAACATCTTGAGTCTGGCTAAGGATCTGCACTCGAAGAAGTAGTGCTCCGATCACTTTTTGTCCGGTAAACAAAACATTCTATATAAATAATGTTGTGAAACAATGTCAGAACAATGTCGGAGTATAACTGTGTGTGTGTTGCAACTGCTTTTTAATGATTTAGCATCTCTACTACTGTAGTTAGCTTAGAATGCTATGCTACGTGCTAACCTCCACACTGTAATACTCACAGCAACAAAGTTCTGGTTCTGGTCCCGTGTTGAGCCTGGACTGTTTGTTGTCAGGAGACTGCACGTTATTTTATTTAAACCTTTATTTAGCTGGTTAGATCTGATTGAAACAGTTTTATATATATATATATACTGTACAGTATATGCATCACACACACATTGTATTTAATATAAATATTTGAACACTGCAACATTGTCAGACTAGAACAATCAGTTTGTTTTGATTCTGAGTCCCTCTTTACTCCACTCCTTAGTGGATGCATCTGTACTGAAAATATTCCATAACACAAGTTCATCTTTTGTGTATTACAACATTTGTTCTATTGATTTATTAGTTTTTTCAGGAAGGCGTGCACACAAGTCAAACACAGACTGGTCTCCTGCACTGAAGCTGACAGACACACTGACTCTGAGAACATCAGCAGCAGAGGAACAGCAGGTAATGACACAAGCAACAGGCACAATAATTCCAAGATATTCAAATAAATCTAAGATAAAAATTACTCAAATCAATATAAAATTGAACATATATCTTTGTGAATGAGTAAAAATGTTAGAAACTGTATTAATTGTCTTATTTTAGAGTTTGTGATGCAAACATGACAATGTTTACTAATCTTTTTTTTTAAGGTACAGACGAGTGAAGGACCGAGTTCAATCCAAAGAAAAACTCCAGTGTGAGGACTTTCCTAGACCTGGGTCCAGTCTTGGATCCTAGACCTGGTTTCAGTCTTAGATCCTAGACCTGGGTCCAGTCTTGGATCCTGAGGGGTTGGTGGTCCCACATGACGAGGAATCTGTTCCAGTTTGTTTAAAGTCAGAAACTCCACTGGTCTCCATCAGTCCTTGTTGAAGAGTGTTGTTGATCTGGTATTTATTCTGTAGCCCACTATGATCAGCTGCATGGAGTCATTTTCATTAAAAGACATCAAATCACCCACAGTTCTCATCTTGTATCACTTTCAACTGTGTTGAATTTCTAATTATAGGCTTTGACTTAGAACTGTGTCAGTCTCCTCCTGGAGGAGGAACATAGAGCAACATGCATGTTTTTATGTTTTGTACATGGCAATAAAACACTAAACTGGTAAGCTGTTAAAGAACAATCACTAGAGCTAGGTTTATTTATGTGCAGTAGAATAATGTCTAGTAGAGGAGACATTACAATGAAACTATTTCTCAGTACTGGAGATTAAACAGAGGATCTTCATTATTGAAATAAAGAAGGTGAAACTTGGTGCAACTGTTTCATTCAAACTAAAGATAAACATACGCACATTTAGGAATGCATGTTTCACAACCACATGTTCTTCAAAAGCAGATTAATTTATAGAAATTATGTTTTCACTCATTTGTTGCTGTGGTACACAACTGCACAACTTCTGGACCAAGTGGAGTTTCATCTTCTGGGAGAACCTCACACAGAAATACAACAAAGGAGGAAAACTATTAAAATCTGTTCTTGTTTCAGGGTTTTAAAACATTTAACAAATGGATTAAAAGGAGTTACCAAATTGTAACTTTTCATCAATGTGGAAGAAAAACAGTATATTTTATAATTTTAATATCATTTAATGTATTATCTTTGTTAATTCTTCATTTCAACTGCCACCTCATGAGGAAACAGGAACCTGCAACAGAAAAACATGTTTACTGTCACAAAATAGCTTAAGCAGAAACCAGTTTTGCCTAAAAGAACTTGTTTGTCCCACCTTGTATTGTTCCAGTAAGCCCTTAAGGCACATGACTCATGAAGAGTGAAATTTTTGAATGCCCTGTGCGTGCGAAGGACTGTATAAATGGAATATTCACTGATGTGTTCTTCAGAACTTCTTGAGCCTTAAGCCGTGCTGTTCTCCCTTTGCAAAGGAAATAATAAATCTGCTGTGTGTTGCTTATAACTAAGATCTCAAGTCTCATTTACAAAGTTTATCTATAAAATAAACTTCACAATTTGGCGTCACGAACAGGATCCTTTGTTGGTTTGTCCACTTCGATTGGAAGCCAGGACATGGCTGATCACCGGAAATCAACAGATTTTTCCTCCAACCTCCAGTAGGACATTAGAGAGGGAGGGCGTCCTGTCTCTCCATCGAGGGGGATCGACCTCAACAGGATACGGACTGAGACTGAGATACAAAAGGTAAAGAAAATGTTTCGTAAAAAATAAATATTGAGTAGATTTGTAAATATACAAATCAAGGTAGGTGTTCATTGAGAACGCTGAGGTAGGATTGTGAAAACAATCTGAGGTAGATTTATTAATTTAAATTGAGGTAGGTGTTCATTGAGAACGCTGAGGTAGGATTGTAAAAACAATCTGAGGTAGATTTATTAATTTAAATTGAGGTAGGTGTTAATTATAACGACACTGAGAAATAATGGGTTCAGGAAATAGTAAGGATGAGGAATATATTCCTTGTGGTCCAGAGGCAGACCGGATGCATAGATTACATGGTGATTCTTGTCTCAGCTTTGTTTCACAGTGGCATAATAAATTTAATTTCCCAAGAAATGGTTCGTTTGACCCAGAAGAAATCCAAAAACTAGAAGAACATTTATTACGTCAAAAACAAAAAATGTGCAGCATGAAGATGGTTCCACAAGCCACACTCGTAGCGATGCATAACCATGAACAGGCATTTAAATTATGGAAAAACTAGGCTAAATCCCTATCACAAAAAACAGCATCTAAAACTTATCAGATGACCCAGAAAATTGAAAAGGCGACCAAAGAGGCTCTAAAAAATGAGACAATTCCACAAAAACAAAAAACTAAGACAGGAAAAGCTTCACTGTTGGCCAAATTAACTACTACTCCTTCTCTCTCTCATGTACCGGAGTCCAGTGGATCTCTGCCTCCCACGACGCCCCTCTACCCCTCCCTGATCGGCCCCAACACCCCCCCCCCCCCCCACCTTACGCACCACCTGCTCCAGGCAAGAAAAAGAAAAAAAGAGAACCAACAGCAGATCCTACATCATGTCTGATGACTACTCCAGTGTGGGCGCTGGATTCAGATGATGACTACCAAGGACACCGTTTCGTGGATGACGATTGGTCACCCATAATACCACCACCACCAGTTCTCGAAACAAAGGATGAGGACAAAGGAAAAACATCTATACAGACCAGACAACAACAGCTGAAAAAAAGAACCTTGAAACCCAGGCAGCAGAAATAAAACAACAGATCGATGCCCTCAAACAAGCAAGTTAAAAAAAAAAGAAGGCTGCTGCCAACCATCTGTCAGATTCAGAGGACGAGACCGAAGATGAGACAGACAACCCCAACCACGTCCACACCAACCCCATGATGGAGGTGGGAGGACCAACCGGCCCTCAGCTGGTGTACAGGGCCTGGCCCAAGACCTGTCTGATTGACATGGCCAAACAACACCTTCCAGACCAAGCACAAGGGGGAGAGGCTATAGCCACCGCTGTTCTCAACATGGTAGCTGTACTTCGACCCACCCTACCAGAATTAAAATTAATCTTGGCTTCCGTATATGGTATTGGATTCATTAATACGGTGGGATCACAAAGGTTTGATGATCCTGAAGCACAACAACGCCTCACACATGCAGAATATTCTCATGAGCAGAACAGAGAGTATACAGAGCGTGTTGCAGGAATAGCAGGTCGCATCAAGGCTGCATTTCCCCAAACTCCCAGCTTCGCCACCATCTCTGACACAGTCCAGAGATCAGATGAAGCCCCTCAAGATTATGCCAACAGTCTCCTGCCCATCTTCAGAACCCACTCTGGCATAGAAATGCCCCGTGAAGACTGGCGTGAAAGTAACCAAGCAACGTCTTTTGAGATCATTTTCTGTCAATCTCTGATGAATGGATTTCTCCCTCAAATCCGCAAAGCAGTCCAGACCACCTACATCGGATGGAAGACTGGGATACGACTGAATGAACGCCTTAGGCACGCCAGACACGCTTGGGACTAGCACATCACAGAACAAACCACCACACAAAGAAAAAGACAAAAACAAACAGAAGATGCTC